GTTGCTAGTAGAAAAAGTCTGAGGGATAATTGGTAAAATATTATGAGGATTGCTACCTTGATCCTCATGAGGCCTTGGGGATTTGCCAGATTCATAAGCCAAGTTAATTTTGCTTTCGAAAGAAAAAAAAAGCAGCATTCAGCAGAAAATGACAGGTGTTCTGGGCTAGTCCATGGCTTAAAAAGAATAACTGAATGTGACTTCCAATTCCTGGAAAATCGCCTCTTGTTTTTCAAAATAGTGGTTATGCCTCATTCTGTAACAGATGAAGACCTTACATTAATATGTTATTTGTCAAATATCCTTTTCTTATTTTCCACAGGATATTTATTGTAGAAATCCAACGATTGCATCAGAGTTTTGCATACTGGGCAAGAGACATCAATGCACATAGCAGCCCTCTTTCATCTGAATGAAGCATCTTAGCTAAAAAGCCTCCCAAGTATTAATAGTGCAATGTAGCGCCTATAGTTTTGGATCAGTCAAAGTCCTGCACAGGCACAAAGCTATCTGGGTGACCTTAGCTCAATCACAGTCTCACCATCATAATTGATTCCAAAGCTATTCTGAAAACAATGTGAGTGGGAGAAACAGTGTTTGCATGTGTGTGTGTTTGTACATACAAACATATGGGAGATAGGAACATATAACCCTCAAGAAAGTGGAGAAATGGAAATAAAAACCATACATTTTTTCCAGGAATGTCTAGGTCCTCCAAGTCAACTCGGTCCTCTACGGTTCACTTCCACACAGAATTTTTCTGGAAAACCTAGGTCCTCCAAAACTCTACGGTCAGTTTTAGAACACATCCACAAAAGTTAAGTCTAAAAAGTGGAGTGCTGACTCCATGTGTGTATATATATATCTTTGCACACACGAAGTCAGGCATATGAGATGGAAAACCTTGTTTGGTTTGAAGGTGCAGTTGGCTCTGGACAACCATGTAAGGGTCTGCCTGGTAGCACTGGATGAGGTTAGTCTATTGCTTGTTTGGGCCCTTCGAATTACTTTCCCACCAGACACCATTCATGCACATATGCCCACATCTCCCCTTTTCAGACAAATACAAATTTTAATTGTGTTTAAACATTTATTCTTTGATTAGAGAAGGCAAAGGAAAAACTAAGTTAACCAAGCCATCATCTTGAAGACACTCCTGTGCTTCCTACCCTCTCAATGGAGTGTCACCTTGTTATGGTGAGGCAGCTTGAATGTTCCAATGAACATGAGGGCATAACCACCGGAGTCATGCACTCCCAGGTGTTGCAATGGGATAAATCCTTGTGTTGTGGGGACATGAGGGAAGCCTCTCACAAGGATGGTAAAACATCAAAACACCTGGGCATCCCCTGGACAACATCCTTGCAAACTGCCAATTCTCTCACGCCAGAAGTGACTTGCAGTTTCTGAAGTTGCTCCTGACATTAAAAAAAATGAGAGGGGGCTGCAGAGGAGGTTCCAGATCGAACACAATCCAAAGACCTCAATGGTAAATCAGGTGGAAGATAACATGGTACATGTTACAATGGCTGTGAAGGTGGAAGAAGGCTGAAACAGATTGAGAAGCCACCGTTGTCATGTTAACCATGCCCCTGGTTGGGACAGTCACTGTCTGAAGACTGTGTTGATCAGCTGTGCACACCAACCTCCACACATTAAAAAAGAACTCATGCACAGATGTCTTCCAAGAACTTGGAAGGCCATCATACTCGGACAATGACGGATTGCCTAAGCAAGCGAAATGCTTCCTTCGTTCTTTGAAGGGAATGATACTTGGAGAAGGGTCCTCTTCAGTATTTCTCCCTGATGTGGAGGATCAGCAATTTTTTCCCAATTGTGCCAGGGGCTAGCACTAAATTTATGCCCATTGGTTACAATTCCTTCCTTTCTTCTTCTCTTTCTTTAATGATGGGGGTCCCCAAAAAGTTTTCTGAACATCACCTAGTGGAGGCCGTCGAAGTCCTGAACCGGTGCCTGGCCGCTGTAATGGTCTGGATGAGGGCGAACAAACTGAAATTAAATCCAGACAAGACAGAGGTACTCCTGGTCAGTCGCAAGGCCGAACAGGGTATAGGGTTACAGCCTGTGCTGGATGGGGTCGCACTCCCCTTGAAGGCGCAGGTTCGCAGCTTGGGTGTGATCCTGGATTCATCGTTGAGCCTGGATCCCCAGGTTTCAGCGGTGACCAGGGGAGCATTTGCACAGCTTAGGCTCGTGCGCCAGCTGCGCCCGTACCTTGGGAAGTCTGACTTGGCCACGGTGGTACACGCTTTGGTCACATCCCGCCTCGACTACTGCAACGCTCTCTACGTGGGGCTGCCCTTGAAGACGGCCCGGAAGCTTCAGCTAGTCCAGCGCGCGGCAGCCATGTTGTTAACAGGAGCAGGGCGCAGGGAGCATACAACGCCCCTGCTGTCCCAGCTCCACTGGCTGCCGATTTGCTACCGGGCCCAATTTAAGGTGCTGGTGTTATCCTACAAAGCCCTAAACGGTTCCGGCCCAAAATACCTTGCGGACCGCATCTCGGCCTACGAGCCCACGAGGACCTTGAGATCATCTGGGGAGGCCCTTCTCTCGGTCCCGCCTGCCTCACAGGCACGTTTGGCGGGGACGAGAGAGCGGGCCTTCTCGGTGGTGGCCCCCCGGCTTTGGAACTCCCTCCCTGCTGAAGTTAGACAGGCGCCCTCCCTTATGGCCTTTCGTAAGGGCCTGAAAACATGGCTCTTCGAGATGGCCTTCAACTGAGTGCTATGTTATTGGAAATGACGACCGGAATGGACTACGACTATGAGATTGATTATGACCCCATGATACGACGAAGCGGATTTTTAGTATAAGTAGTTGTTATGTAGTAGTAGAATGTTGTTACTGTCTTGATCTATTGTAAACCGTCTTTTTTATGTTGTTGTACACCGCCACGAGTCGCCCTAGGGCTGAGAGTGGCGGTTAATAAGTGCAAGAAATAAAATAATAAATAAATAAATAATAGTAGCTGTTTTAGACATTTACACAAATCCATTGTTCACAGTAGACTCTGCAAAAGATGTCTCAGCTGTAAAAAGGAAAATTAGCCTGTTTAGCAAGCCTTGCAAATGCTGATTTTTTTATCAGCAAATGATTGATTTTTCTATCTATTTTATATACCTATATACCTGGGGTCACATAAAAATTTCTCAGGCCAAGAGGGTGGAAAAGTTTAAGAAGCCCTGCTTTAGATAACACGGCAGGCTGGATAGGAAGCTCTGCTGGACTAAATTTGCCCTCCAATGAGGTTCCTTGTCAGTGAATTGGCTCTATAGATCTCCCTGACATAGGAAATTCAGTTGTCCTTTGGTCCTTAACTCAGGCGATGCAAGACTGTATCAATGGGGCATGCCATTCTTTTATCTCTTTTACTAAATTTTAAATGTTATAGTTTTATTTTTTTAAGGTTTTTAATATAATACTTTGTTTTTTAAAGCTTATATACCGTAGTAAGATTTTGGATGTACTTTGGTTTAATTTATAGACATTCATCTTGGGTTCCATAGTGGGAGAAAAGTGAGATGAAAAGAAAAAAAAACTTTCCAAAGCTCCTTGGAGGAAAGATGAAGTAATAACATTTTAATAAAATGTATTATGAGTTTACTGAACAACATGTTTTGGCAAACACTGTAGGGCAAGTTGTAGAAATGTTATATGGGCGTGGAAGAGAAAAGCCTGATGAAGAGGAAAAGGAATGGATATTAGCAATTAACAAGCTTCAGGGCTTGTAAGCAAAAGCTCTCATGATGACAGACACTGTAAGAACTGCTGACTTTTGTGTCTATATTTTCCATGTTCAGGTGGTAGGCCTATACCAGTAGTTCTCAACCTTCCTAATGCTGCGACCCCTTAACACAGTTTCTCATGTTGTGGTGACCCCCAACCATAAAATTATTTTCATTGCTACTTTCATAACTGTAATTTTGCTACTGTTATGAATGGTAATGTGAATACCTGATATGCAGGATGTATTTTTGTTCACTGGATCAAATTTGGTATAAATACCCCATACGGCTAGATTTGAATATTGGTGGGGTTTGGGGGGGGGGGGGTTGATTTTGTCATTTGGTAGTTGTTGCTGCTGGGATTTATAGTTAACCTTCAATCAAAGAGCATTCTGAATTCCATCAACTATGGAATTGAACCAAACTTGACACACCAACAGAAAATACTGGAAGGATTTGGTGGGCATTGACCTTGAGTTTTGGAGTTGTTGTTCTCCTACATCCAGAGAGCACTTTGGACTCAAATGATGGATCTGGACCTAACTTGCACAAATACTCAATACACCCAAATGCGAACACTGGTGGAGTTTGGGGAAAATGCGACTTGAAATTTGGGACTTATAGTTGCTGGGATTTATAGTTCACCTCCAATCAAAGAGAATTCTGAACCCCACCAACAATAGAATTGGACCAAACTTTCCAGAGAACCCCACACCCCCTTGCAACCCCCCTCTAGGAGCTCCAACCCCCAGGTTGTTTAATGCTGCCCTAAGCATTTAATGATAATTTTGGCAATGTTTTCAGTACTCAATTGCATATTCCGGTCTTATGCTTCAGACATGAAGCCATAGCCCATTGTAAAACATCCAGTCCTCCTTTCCAAAATATTATATTCACCCAAAATATTATTTTAACGCATTCTGAACCCCGCCAATGATAGAATTGGGCCAAACTTCCCACACAGAACCCCCATGACCAACAGAAAATACTGTGTTTTTTGATGGTCTTTGGTGACCCCTTCTCAGCCTGAGGGTCGGGACCCCTCGTGATCCCCCCAGGGGTCCCGACCCTCAGGTTGAGAAACGCTGACCTATTCAATTGCTGCAGAGAAATTTGTTTCTTCTGGGACTGCAGTCGAGTACAGGATGAAGTGGGCAGGAATACAAAATACAGAGCTCAATGAACAGCCAAGTGAAACTCCCTTATCACATGATTTTGGAAACAAGAGCAAATGAGATTTACCACAAGCAGTGCCTGAACAGAGAGCAAAAAAATCCTTTATTGTACACAGTACAGAAATGTAATGCAGCTTTTGCAGGAGATATACTATATGGCCCTGCTCAGGCAATAGTAATTTCACATCAATCCTCAGATTAACCCTTCTGCGCTAGAGACTTCCCATTCCAAAATTCAACAAAAACCCACACGGCAAACCCCACCGGTCTGATTAAGCCTTGGGGCAAATTAGGGGTGGCAGCAGAGTTCGCTGCTGCCCTGTGCTTTGTGACAGGCCACTTTATACATTCTGGGGAGAGTTGCTGAGTCGTCTACAAAGAGTTAATCTTCATACTTAAAAAAAAAGTGAAGTTAGTCAAAAACCCAAACAAAGTTATCAAAGCAGAAAAAGAAATCCTATACAGCATTTACAACAAAACATGGAGCCCATGGGGAAAGTTATGCATATTTGGGCCAAGCACATTACAGGTGCATGCCAACAATGCTCATAGGAAGGAGAAAAGGGACTTTCTGAAGGTCCCAGAGATGTTATATATATATATATCTGTATGTACCGAACAACGTAGATCTTTCCCCTTTCTCTGAATTTTTACAAACTCAAATTTTTTTTCTCTTTTTTAAAAAAATCTTAAAATATCCAACTTGCATGAAGCATTTGAAAGTGTAACATAACTTACAAATTAAGCTAAAAATATTTCTGCATACAGATCTTGCACCCTTTTCTTGCTTATAAGCTCAATGAGGAAAGGTAGTTTAACAACAACAAGGCAAGGCTGCCGTCGAGTCAGAACTGTGCTACCTTGGGAAAGTTCAGTGGCTGGGGTTGTCTTGTATTATATACATATGGTTCCCAGTCACAGAAAAAACAACGTGCGTTTGCTACTGCATAGGAGCACCCTTGCCTCCCCCAATACAGCGCACACTGTACAAAGTGTCCTGGGAAGGATCCAGTGTAGAAATGTTTGAAGCAGATATACGCATGAAGGGCAGGAAACCTCTCTCCCACCCCATGCTGGAGTGCCCTTAGTGTCAGCACTGCTGGAAGCAAAAAAGCAGAAGCTTTGCCAAAAGGCAGGATTTTCTTAAGATACAAAACCCTAGAAAAATCTAGTTACAAAGGTCGCCCCACAACATAAAAAGAGGTTTGGCCAAACCCTCTTTCCTCCCTAAAAGCAAGCTATCCATGCACAGCCTTGCAACAGAGAGGGTGGCCAAGGGACAGCTGGGCGTGTTGAGATCTAGCGCTTAAGTGCTTTCCTTTAAGCATGGGTTGCTTATCAGAGACCAAAACATCAAACCAAATCAGAAAAAAGGCTATCTTGTCTGAAGAGCTGTGCACTGAGAACTGAGAGGGGCTGTGCTAATTCAGCCATGCCAGAAGCACCACGCTAAGCCATGACCCGTTCCAAAGGGCTTGACCAGCGTCGGTCCTTTTGCCCTCTGCAAATGAAAGCCCTTTTCCATTATACAAGGTAGATACAAAGATTGTGATTGTTACATAGCGTATTATCTTGACAATTTGCTAATCACATACTGTCTATTCAAGTCTTGCAAGCATGTGCATTGCACACATACCCCTAGCAACAGGGCCCAGAATACACCCCACTGGAACATACACTCCCATCATTCTTTGTGGTTGGAGCTGAAGCGACCAGCAATTGGAGGTCCTACTGACCAGCCAGGTTATTGTCTTCGTGTTGGGAGGGCCGTGAAGTTATTATTTTTCTGTCTCTTCTGATAATATTTGCAAAGAGCAGTTTTATGAACAGCAAAAATTCTTTACAAAACCCATTTGCCCTTAATTGTTGGAACTGGAGTCTGTAGTGTCAGCTGCTCAGCCAGTCAGTAAGCAAAGCCCTCAGCATAGGGGAGGTTGCTGCAGTGATCCAGGTCTAGGAGGTATGCAGAGTTATCTTCAAAGTGTGTGAGAGGTAAGGTGTCATCTTCATTCACATGGCAGTCAGGTTCAGCTTTTAAGAATGGGCGCTGATTGTCAGGGAAGGCCATGGAGAAGAGGGCATCAGGGTCACAAACAAACTTGTAGACATACCGTTCTCCAGCCACCTGAAAGCAAAGGAAGACATTAGTTCATTAGCTATGGTAGACATTGGCTGGTGTGGGGTTAATGGGATCTACTTTGTTGTTTACTACAGAGCCCAGGTCTACACAAGAAAGATGGGGAGAAACACCAAGGGAGGGGAAATAAAGACAACAGAACCAGTGACTTCCTGCAATCTATGAGTTCTGCCCTATGCTTTCAGTTACAATAGATGAGGCATTCTAAACAAAAATGGAAAAGTGGCCCGTCGTACTGCACAAAGGCCAAGTCAATGAGACCTGCTTATCTTCATGACCTGATCTTCCCCTACAAATCTACACAATCTCTAAGATCTTCTGGGGAGGCCCTCCTCTTGCTCCCACCCCTGTCACAACATTGGTGGGGATGAGGAGAGCACCTTTTCGGTGGTCCCCCCCCCCCCCCCGGCTCTGGAACTCTCTCCCTCTCTCATCCTGTCCACCTTCTGTAAAGAACTAAAAATGTGGCTGTTCCACTGGGCTTTTAACTAGAGTGTTTCCCAAATAATTTTGGCCCCAGTTTGATCCAAAATTAGATCTTGCACATTACCACTATTCCCTAATTAGACACATAGTGCTCTCTTTACACTACCTCCTCCCCAGTTTCCCCTTGTCATCTGCCTTCAGTCCTTTACCCATCAGGCCTGTCCTTTGCAAGTGATTTGCACCAGCCCACCCACCCGAGCTCAGAACTGTGCATTACTCAGACCACTGATGGTTGTTAGATGTTTGCTATATATTGTATTATGTGTGGTTGTTGTTAATACTGCTGAAACTGTTTTATGAATTTTGTTGTGTTATATTTTAACTATGTTGAATCTTGGGTTTGTCCCCATGTAAGTTTGTCCCCCTGAGTCCTGGGGTACAAAAATAAAGTTATTATTATAAAGTTATTATTATAAAGTTATTATTATTATTATTATTATTATTATTATTATTATTATTCTGATCTTACATTTTTACAAGTTAGGAAAGCTGAGATCAAGACATGATTAGTACAAGACCAGCCATAGCATATCCTTCCCTTTCTGCTGCAGGTATGTTTTGCTCTTGTTAAATGATTGGAAATTCATAATACTATACTTGTTGACCTACTTCCATTAATGGTAGATTCCAGTTTACTTTCTGCTTGTTCTGACATGAGCAATTACAAACAAGGAGTGGCAGATGTGTGTGTATGGTTTGATTGATGGTGGATGAATTTATTGCAAAGGAAAACCAAAATACATGATGTGGAAGACAAGTATTTTCCCTCCTAATATGCCAGGGACACCATTGACTTCCAATTGTCCTCCACCCCCCGCTGACCTCTATAAACCAACAGCCAATTGCTTGTGGAATGGTACAATTTTTCCATGTATATGCGTCTTTAGAAATCTCCCACCCCTGCTTTAAAGCCACACTATTATTGCCTAGTCGAAATATTCAGAGCAAAGTGTTACCTTCTGCATGATGCCTTTTTCATAGTAGTAGCGAAGAGACCGACTGAGCTTGTCATAGTTCATAGCTGGCCGATTCTTCTGAATTCCCCACCGACGAGCAACCTAAGAAAGTGAAAAATGGAACTATGAAGCTTGTCTACTTTCTGGCATGACTGAGAAGTGTTAAACTTTTGTAAACAAGATTCTCAAATGGGGAACAGAAATGCCAATAGTGGTAAGGCAAACGTTTCCAGACTTTCAAGGTTTCAGTTATTTTGTAGAATCTATTTGGCTAACTCAGCCACTTGCGGGAAGAATCAGATAGGGCATTGGGATTCCCAAAGCACTCGAACAAGCTGCATTCTTCTGCTAAGTTTGCACGGAGTACTAAATAGTAGTGACACATTCTAAGAGACTAACTATGCTGTATTCTAATATGCAGACTCCTCCAGTATCCCTAACAGCGGAGCATATCAGATTTTGTTGAAAGACTGCTCTGTTAACCTCTAGTCGTATTGGCCAAGAAATTTTAAGTTCTTCATAGATGTTGAACATATTAATGTAAAGAACTGAATGCATTAGCTCTGGAAAATAAATTTTAATGTGTGTTGTAGGATCTGGGAGTTCAACTTGATGCTCATGGGACCATATCCTTGAGCACATAAACATGACAAGTTTTATTGGATTGGGAATCCAAACCCATTTTCTACATAACTGTATTCTGCTCCACCTTAGTATCACATGGTTGTCCAAATAAGTTGTTTTGTAATAAATTACTTAGGTCAGCCTTGCAATGTAATCTTGCAATGTTTAGCATTCATATCATTGATAATTGTACTCTTCTTGGAAAATTAAGGAAAAAATAAGGCAGATCTGTGGGAGGTCATCTGTATCACAAACATAGCCTGATGTTGGCAGACTGCCCTACTTCCTTCTCTAGCCACAAAATGGCCATGGGGCCAACATGTCAAAAGAGGAAAGTAGGCTGTGTTTAGACGCAGTGAGGGAAGAGGCAGATCATTATACAATGCTGAGCCGATCAAAGATCTCAGCCACAGTATGGATTTAACAGCTCAATGGCTGTAATGGGGAATCTTTGTCCTCCAGCTATGTTGAACCTCAGCTCGCAATCAGCACTGCAGTGTTTGGAGATAATGGCAGTTGGTGTTCAACAGCATCTAGAGCAGTGGTTTCCAACCTGTGGGTCCTCAGATGTTTTGGCCTTCAACACCCAGAAATCCTAACAGCTGGTAAACTGGCTGGGATTTCTGGGAATTGTAGGCCAAAACACCCGGGGACCCACAAGTTGAGACCCACAGACTATTAGCATGTTACTCTTCTTGACTGCCATGTAAACCATGGCTAGAAAGACATTATCAGGAATCCTAATGGAGATACAAGTGTGCAAGAGCCCTGAATCAATTCTAATACAATTCATAAGCAATTGTGCAGAGCAGATTATTCATTTTTTCTTTGGGAGGAGGATCTGATGACATAAGCCTGTTGCCAACCAACCTACTGTTTCCCTGGGGATTTTTGGAATGGACAATCAGCCAGGCACTCAGAGAAGATTAATGGGATTTCCTAGCGCTAAGTGCACTGAGGCAGCCAGCACCCACCTGAGGCATTGCAAAGGCCCAGAACATAAGCCTGAGCCAAATACATGGGGGTGTTTCCAACGGCCTCAGCAACTAAACAGATAACTACATTAATGCAATGCACCAGTTGGACTAGTTTTTCCATCAGAGCAAAGACACAAGGAGGAAGTGAAATGCATAGATGAAGCAAATAGCTTATCATCAGGAAAGGAAAATGTATTTATTCAGCACCTTGCATTCATCTAGCTCTTGCACACAGCAATAGATGTATCACCCATCCACTGTACACCCCTTTGCTCATTTCCTGTCTCTCTGATTAAAGTCAAAGTTACAACAGAGATGTTACCTAGGTTCCCTTTACACCCATTTTCCTGTTCCTCCATTACAAACCTTACTTCTTTGTTCTCATATCTCAAGAATAAATGTCCTCCCAGCCTGCCGTAACAGTATTGAATAGATTCAACCATGTACCAATTACTATGGTGTCAAAGGAGGAAAGAGAGCACGAAATCCTGCTACGTTGCTCCTCCTTCTCTATTTTTAAGTTAATGCATTGCAATAGGCTTCTCAATAGCTTTTGGAATTAATCCTCCCATAAGTGGCTCCAGGGCGGAAGCATGTTCGGTTGCATTTTGCATGTTCAGACGCAAGCCCCCCTCCATATGTATGTAACAGCAGGCAAATAGCCAAGAGCGCATTGCCAATGCATGGATTGCAAGTGGCTCTGCAGGTGACTGTTACATAATCACCTCACAGCAGCCTGGCTTTGATTCTGATTCAAACTCCGCCAGAGCTTCCTCTTTATTGCTGCGTACAGCCTGGCAAAGAAAACCACGAGGTGCTTCAAAACGCTTCTCATCCTCTTACTGGCCAACGCTGCCAGAAAGCAAGAGCCATCGTTATCAGTGGCCCTTCAGCCTTCTCAAAGAGCCTGCTGCTTTTGGGGCAGAAGTGGAAGATGTGAAATTTCCAATGAAAATCCATTCCCCTCAAAGAGCAGCAAGATCTTGCTTTGTCTTCCACTGATCCTTCCTTAGTCCTTTCACCAGGGAAAAATCCTAGGCAGGCAGCACAGATCCAGGTTAAAGCATTTCCAAATCAAAGCAGATGCCATTTTCGTAATGGGGTGGAAGTGAAACAGCAGACGACCAAAGACCTTCGACTGCCAAACTGTTGTTTGAAAAACCACAATATCCACGCAGAGTGTACTGTATATTATGGATAATTACCCGCCATGCACTGCAAGGCTGTGCAGCTGGTTTCAATTATTAGTCAAGCAGCTTCCTCCTCTGCATCATTCCACACAACCAAGTGCACCACAAAATCCCTCTTGGTAATTTCAGGGGTTTATTTACAAACTCAGTGTCTCCACAAGGCGACAACAGAGGAAAGCCTACAGCGACAGTGGAAATTAGCAGAAAATCTTTTCTTAGACACAACCAAGCATCTGACACTTAATGGGGAAAATAAAAACAACGTGTGTGGGGATAATAAAGGGATGCCCAATAACTAAACTGGAGGCACAAGAAAGCGACCCCTAAAACATCAGCTTGAAAGCTAACAACTGCACACACCCCCATTATTTCACAGGTGAAAACAATTATGTGCAGCCAAAGAACATCAGAATGGGGTCAATAATTATATTTATTTGTACCCCACCAACATCTCCCCAAACAGAATCGAGGCGGCTCACAGAAGCACTCCAAGTGAGGGGGCTAATCTAATTTCTTTAGGGAGGGTATTCTAGAGCCGGGGAGCCACCACTGAGAAGGCCCTTGTCCCAACCAACCATGTTTGAGATGGTGGTGGGACCGAAGGAAGGGCCTCCTCAGCAGATCTTAATGCCCATACCGGTTTGTAGCAGGAGATGCGGTCTCGAAGATAGGTTGAACTCGAAATGTATAGAGCTTTATAGATACCTGCATTACCTCCCTCCTGACCTTTCTCCTGCTGATTTGAGTGCACTTTGTTTGCAAACTCAGTTTGCAGCAATGAAATAAGTTGAAGATAAAGGGGAAAGTGGGAGGATGAAAGGGAAATTAGCTGACAATGAGCTGAAAAAAATGGGACAACAGAAGACGTATTGGGACTGCTCTGGCCAAATAGGCCAGATTTATGAATTTCTATAAATAAAAATAGTTGAACTGGCACAATATGATATAACCCTACCATGGCAATAATACACAATGACCACTGCCAAAAGGGAAGCAACAAAATGCAAATATTTTAAGATGCACGAGGATGTTAAACTAGTCTTATTATTGGGAAACACAATATTTTAGTAAGAAAAAAAGTTTCACAGAACATTGAAAAGGAAAGATAAATAATGCCTGTTATTTGGAGTGACTAGCAAAAAAATGGACCATATTTACAAACAACAATAAATAAAATAATTATTATAATTGCTCCAAAACTGCAGAATTTTACACAATCGTTTTTATAAATTTGCCGACTCATCGTCATTCACTAACAAAGAGACAGGTTTCCTCCTTTTGCCTGCTACTCTCGCTATATTATTCAAAACTGATGAATGAACCAGACTTTTATCAGGACTTCATTAGAATGAAAAAATTACACAAAACAAAACAGAAAAAGCACACTAACAATAAACAATAGACTTTGATATAGCTCTAAATTTATTGCATATATTTTGGAGGTATTCGGATTTTCCCATTTTTCCCATTGTTAAAACATAGTTCACCCAATGTAACCCAACTGTCATTTTCACGGCTCATTTTATCATCTTTTCATGTATTTTTAGAGGCAGGTTTCTTACACCTCCAGTTTTGAGAAAAGGAGAACATACTTCCTACCTACTAATTTGGAGTCTGTTATGGAAAGTCTGTGCCTAAGAATTAACTGGGTTGGGGGCTGGAAGCAAGAAACAGAATGTCACTAGGATCTTTGTCATCTGCACACACTAATACCTTTTTATATTGTTCATATTCTAAAACTCACAATTTCATCTCATCAATACTTTCTAAAATGGGCACCAGCAAAAGATCTCCAGAAGGGAATGAGGAGATATCAGCAAAGAGAAGCAAACCTGTTGTTTCTTCACAAGGTCTTATTTCATTGCACATACATACTTTGCTTTTCTTGTTTCCCTCAGCCAGTGGTTCTCATCCTTCCTAATACAGTTCCTCATGTTGTAGTGACCCCCAACCATAACATTATTTTTGTTGCTACTTCACAACTGTAATTTTACTACTGTTATGAATTGCAATGTGGATATCTGATATGCAGGATGTATTTTCATTTGCTGGACCAAATTTGGCACAAATACTTGATACAGCCAAATGTGAATACTGGTGGGGTTTGGAGGAGGGGTTGATTTTGTCATTTGGGAGTTGTAGTTGCTGCAATTTATACTTAACCTTCAATCAAAGAGCATTCTGAACTCCACCAATGATGGAATTAAACCAAACTTGGCACACAGAACTCCCATGACCAACAGAAAAAAAAACCCTGGAAGAGTTTGGTGGGTGTTTTGGAGTTGTAGTTTACCTACATCCAAAGAGCACTTTGAACACAAACAATGATGGATCTGGACCAAACCTGGTACAAATACTCAATATGCCCAAATGCAAACACTGGTGGAGTTTGGAGAAAATAGACTTGACATTTGGGCGTTGTAGTTGCTGGGATTTATAATTCACCTACAATCAAACAGAATTCTGAACCCCACCAACAACAGAATTAGGCCAAACTTTCCACAAAGAACACCACACACCCTCGCGTCCCCCCCAGGGGTCCTGATCCCCAGGTTGAGTAATGCTGCCCTAAGCATTTAAAGATAATTTTGGCAGTGCTTTCAGTACTCAATTGCATAGAGAGGTCTCATGCTTCAGACATGAAGCCATAGCCCATTGTAAAACATCCAATCCTCCTTTCCAAAAGATTATTTTCACCCAAAATGAGAGAGGAATTAGATGTTTGGTATTTTGTGTTGTTTTTGGATGGATGCATTGGTATCCAACCAAAGCTATGTTAAGTCTGGATTTCTTCACTGATTTCTAGAGGGATCTTTCACTTCCACCCTAAAGATAAATTAAAAAAAAGTTCTGTGGAAACTGGAAAAATGCCATCAGCCCTAATCTAATAATTACAAGTCTATGGTTTCATGAGTCTCCTACATAAGACTTTTTATAGCATACCAAGTCCCTGCTATGCAGCTACCCGTTCAATTGCAGGATATTGGCAAGACTTCCAGTGTTGATGTATAAACCTCCTTGCCACCAGCACCATGAGCATTACCAACAAAAAAGCTACTTGAACTTCTGCCATTATATAGAAAGTATGCAAAGGGACAGAATGTGGTTTTTCCCTGTGAATTGATATTTTGCTCCAACATAACATTTGATTTGGGGGTGAGTCACAACAATTAAATGGCAACATTTAAAAAAGAAACCTAAATTAATGTAATATGAGCATACAAAAATGACTTAAAGACCCATTCAGCTAGCTCTAAAAAGTGAATTAAGATTCAACCAAGGGCTGGATGGCTAAAATGACCCTTTGATGAGTGATAGCTTTTATTTTTTACTTTCAGTAAAATAGTTGAGTGTGAATATATCCCCACACATAAAGCAAATCAAATAGATGTATTAGCCCATGCCAAAACAATCAGTAAACAAATTTGGCTTTCCTAGCCAAAAATTTGTTGTTTCTGAAACCCACCCTTTATCCCAAAGATGTATCTGGCATTGGGCTCCACCTCTGAAATGAAGCACAGGGTTGGAGGAAAATATCTTGCCATTGCTTCAGTAGGTACGCTGACCACAGATCACACCCATCAACTGCATTGGCAAAGCTTTGGCTGCACCTCCCATTCCAGCTTTGAATGGGAAATTGATTCCTAGAAAGGGCATACAACCAAATAATCCTAGGGTTCAACTTGCCCTTCCTTTGTAGCTCCAAGGTTTACAGAAAACCTTCAGATCTTCTTTTCAGAGTCTGTCTTCCTCTGGCTGTGGGGTGGGGAGATATTATTTATTAATTTTAAACATTTATATTCCGCCCTTCTCACCCCAGAGGAGTCTCAGGGCGGAGCACAGCATATATACGGCAAACATTCAATGCCAAGACAAAACATAACATTAAAACCATTTATCTCAATATTAAAATAGACTGTTAAAGCTGTCTTGGTCATCTGCATCAAATCTAATTGGCCTGGTAATGTTTCTTAACACTGCTTTATTGCACTGTCCCAAAAACTTGGTCCCACAGCCAAGTTTTTACCATCCTTCTGAAGAACAGGAGGGAGGGGGCCGATCTGATCTCACCAGGAAGGAAGATACATAACTTTAGAGCACATATGCACAAAACCTGCTGATGAAGCTCAACATGCTAAACACCTGCTTATAAAACAAAGTCACTGGAGACCCATTGTGGTGTAATGGTTTGGATTCAGGATTGGGACTTGAGAGATCCATGCTATGACCCCAGCTGAGTCATGGAAGTTATTGGATGATCTGAGCCAAACAATTTTTTTCTTAGCCTGACCTAATTCACTAAGAAAGAGATTCATATATACCAGCAGTTCTCAACCTGTGAGTCTCCAAGTGTTTTGGCCTACAACTCTCAGAAATCCCAGCCGGTTTACCAGCTGTTAGGATTTCTGCGAGTTGAAGGCCAAAACATCTGGGGACCCACAAGTTGAGAACCACTAATATATACACTACACTGAGTTCACAGAAGGAAAGACAGGACAGCAGCGTATGTAGCAAATATAGCAATTCAGCAAAGTGAACACAAGAATCAGTACAACTAAACATGATTTTCTGTTCACGTCTGAAATCTAATAATGCTGCTCTCAATCAATTCAAAGATGCATTCTATCACCATGGTCATAGAACCCAGAAACAGTGTGTAAAATGCCTTGTATCTAGTCCAATTGCATTTTATCTTTAATAAGATTATGCAATTACAATAGCTCAAGAAGATAATCTAAAGACTGAAAGGCAATCCAACCAATTAAGACAGAGAGTCATTGCTGGCAAACAATCAGATGCATCAACAGCCAAACCAAGCACATTTGTGCTCAATATATTCAGTAAGAATTGTGGACGCTGGGCCTTCTGACATCTGCTCTGCGGTTTTCTCCATCTGACCTTAATGTGGACTGGAGAATCAACAGATTTACACAATGCCAAAAATGGGTTTATTTATGCTGCTCTGCCTGTTGCTGCCACCCTGAACACCATTCATAACAAGACGTGTCATTTGTTATCTGCATTTCTGTTGATAACTAGGATTCAGTGGAAACTGATCTACTGTCACAATAATTATCCTTGCACAAGTCATGGACTTTGCAAGCATCATGTGGTTCATTTAAAAAGTGGAGCCTTTTTTCAGTAACAGACCAAACAGATTTAGCAAATTACAGCAAGCTTTGACAACAGCGGTCTTGTTGGGCAAATGGTGAAGTTATGTACCACAGGGGATTCTATAAGTATTATTATTATTATTATTATTATTATTATTATTATTATTATTAACTTTATTTATACCCCGCAAAATCTCCCAAAGGACTCAATGAGGCTTACAAAGGCCGAGGCCACCGACAACAACATACAATACACAGTAAAACTCATAAGCAAATAATAAAACATCAAGCAAAACAATAAAACAGTAAAACAATGACACTGTGACGCAATTAAAAAGCTAGGGGCCGGGCCAAAGGTAATGGACAAAAATTAAAAGTGCTGAACCTGACAGGTAATATGTAGAGGTATTTGGTGGTAGGTGCAATGTGCAGATAATCCTGAATCTCTAACAAAGTGCGTTTGGGACTTGAAGCCAGGAGTTTCCTATTCTGGGAAGGCACACTGGAACAGCCAGGTCTTCAGGCTCTTCCTAAAGACAGCCAACGTAGGTAGGTAGTAGGTAGCACATCTTTGGTATTCATGGGGAATCAGTGGCTATGAGTCATGATGGACACATAGTACCCCTCCAGTAGCAGTGTGCCTCTATAAATCAATTGCTGTGTAGCACTTGTGTTATTATGCTGTGTTCTGCTTGTGGCTTCCCAAGAGCAACTGGATGGCATTTATGTCAACAGAATGCTGGGTTAGATGCTCCTTGTATCTTTGGAGAATCACCTTGGGCTTATCAGTTTTAATCAATGATAGTCACATTCCCAATAAACAGGCATATGAAATATTCTTGAGAGTGCCTTGCTTGACACACATGCGCCTAATGAGACCACAATGCTATTTGATGTTCCAGTACTATGGAGGAACACTTAAATTATAAAACCAATGATGACATATCTGAAATGTACAATCCCAAAGTATTTCACCATTAAGGCAGAAACTGTCAATAGCTTGGTGGATAGCATGTGCCATGGACAAAGCCATCCAAATCACATTAACCAGAGCCACAACCACAACAACAAACAGAGTAATGTTATTCTGCCTTTTATCAAGTATAAAAGCATCAACAATATTTCATGTCAGCTAGTATAATATACCCTATTTTCTCTTATCAATACAGAGGAGAGCTCTTTGACTGAAAGCAATTTTAGAGTATTGCTTTCAACTTCAAATGTTGTATCCTTTTCTGGCAAAAATATGATAGCTGGGACCCTACGCTGGTTGTGCACCGCAAGTCAGATTTCATAGAGGGAAGATGTGCGTGAGACTACACAGCGAGTGAGAGACGCAGCTGCAAAGGAGGGGGGAGGAGGGGGTCTACGGCTCACATGTCCTGCCCTCCCGGAGCCCCGGCTCCTCCACTGTTAGAAAGTGGTTGGGGGAAAGCAGAAGAAGAGGGGAAGGGGGGTGGGGGTGGAAATGTGGTTCCTGCTACTCTGTTCACAGTAGGGCCTTATAAAAACCTTTCCTGGCTGCCAGCACACTTTCCACCCTTCGAAGAAAGCAGCTCCAGCAGCTGGGAACAGTCCAAGCGGACTTCCCTTCATTAATTCTGACACGCATTGTGCAACTAGCATAAGGTTCGTAGGGTCCCAGCTATCATACTTTTTCCCCTTTCCCTTTCTACAGATGTTCAGTACTGTGTTTCCCAGCTTGGTGTCTTTCAGATGTATTGGACTATATGTCCCTTCACCTTCAGACAGCACCACGAATGGATAATAGGGGTTGTAATCCCACACATCTGGTGGGAACCAAGCTGGGCAACACTGTCTTCTTGGGCTTCCTTCCAGCCACACAACAATTTGAACTAAGGCTTGTTTGATCAGTGGAAAGTCAAAGATACAACCATAATAGGGATGGGATTCTTAGATTCTTACCTCTTCTGGCTCAATTAGCTTGAATTCCATTCCCCTGCCGGTCCAAGCAATAAAGTGAGCATTGGCTGGGTCATCAAGGAGTGTGACAAGAAACTGCCACAGCTGGAGTGACCCTCGTCTTTGGTAAGGAGGCCCTTCACGGTACACTGTGGGTTCTTGCTTCACTTTGCCTGTTTACACCAACAAACACTAGTTAGAACTGACATTTTTAAAAAGCATATTTTTGCACCACCCCTCCTAAACTCAGAAGTTACTTTTTTGAAACCCAGAAGCCTCCAGTCCTGTGGTTCTCATCCTGCAGATGTTTTGGCCTTCAACTCCCAGAAATCCTAACAGTTGGTAAACTGGGATTTCGGGGAGTTGTAGGCCAAAACATCTGGGGACTCACAGGTTGAGAACCAATGCTCTAGTCAATGCAATCAGTGGCCATGTAGCTGAGAGATTCTGGGAAGTAGTGTCTAAATAGTAACTTTTCCAAGCTGTACTCCCCTCATAGAGAAATGTGTGAAGGAATTACTAAATTTGAAAGTTACTACTATGCATTGGCTTCACAGAACTTGCTTCATACGTTTGGCCATCAAATTCCTAAGAGTTACATGACTGAAGCTCAGACTGATTCAGAGAATTTTTTCACTGAATGCGGCTCAAACAAGGCTGGCCTTGATGAAACAGATGGGAGAGCTGCTTTTTGGCTAATCCATTTTCTGACATAGCTCACTGAAATCTCCCCAGCCACCACGCCCTATCACATGCACCAAACAGACTGAGAAGGAGAAGAGGGAGGGAGGCAGCTTACCTTCCATTCTCTCTGGAACGACACATGTATCATCAAAGTACAATCGGGCATCCTTCTCATAGGAGAACCCTAGTTAAGGGAGAAGGCACGTCCATTAGCTCACAAATTGTCCTTGTTTACTTTCAGAGCTTGTAAAAGTTACTTTTTTGGAGTTAAACTCAAGAGTCCCCAAGCTACCAGGTTACTGGTACACACACATACACACACTCTCTGTTAGGCTGTTCATTTCCTTTTGTGCCTCTTGGCAGCAATGTCAGGGATTCAGTCAGTGATTAAAGTGTACAGGTATGGCCATGAAAGGCTCATTAGCAAATATGTTGGCTGCTGCTTCTGTGAGTCCCGGGACTTGTCCAGACAATAGGTTCCCACCAGGCTGGTTTTACAAAGAAGTGTCATTTTGCAAATGACAATTAAAAACTTTTGCTTACCGAGCAGCAGCAAATCAAAGAGACTTCTTGTACGGCAATTGCTCAGTTAAATTTCACCTGCAACGCCTTTGCCAGTCTAGAATTATGCCATTAAGACTGTCAGGCTGAAGCATGGACTGGGAGTAGTTAGTTGTTCTGGGAAGCATTTTGTTTCTACTCTATCCAGACATTGCTTCTTGGGCACTGCACCTAGATCAACTAACCACCAGCGTCCAGACTGCTCGGTACACATTTTTGTGAGAGAAACGGCTTGCTCAAAACATCTTCCACTGCAGTCAGACTTTTATAGCAACTCCTGTCACCATGGCAGCTGGCACTGCCACTTAATGTGCTTAAGAAGGAGACAGGAGAAAAGAAACCACTCTGTGGGTAAAATGGAAGCAGTCATATCTGTTTCTAGAAAAAGAATCCGGTGACAAGGATGAGAGAGAATTTCTGATGGGCTCTCAAAGAGCATGGTCAATTTCCATGTACTCCAGCAAGAAGACCAGGGCAATTTGCTGTATGATGAGTAGGACATTGCAAAACAAAACAGTCCCTCCATAATAATCTGAATTAAACAGGCTTCCTTGGTTGAGTTAATATGAGGTGTAAAAACATAATTAACAGCATTATTAAAAGGGCAACACTGCCCTATATCCCAGGATCTGATCCCGGATTATCTGCCTTGAACTGGATTGTATGAGTCTACACTGCTACCTGGGATAAGCAGATAATCTGGGATCAGATTCTGGTGTATAGGGCAGTGTAGGTCCAGCTTCAGTCTCTGCAATTGCCAATTTTCCTTTCGTTGGAAGGAGTATTTAAGCAGAGTCAGCACTCAATTCATCAGTTTACTTACTGGACCAGATCTTAGAAATGTTACTTTTGGGAGGGTGTGTGTGTGTGTGTTATAATGCCCAGATAGTCAGATATTTTGCCCCCAAGTTAGCTTGTCCAAACTCAAAGTAGGTCACAATTGGTATTCATAGAATCATATGAGTTTGAAGAGACCTCATGGGCCATCCAGTCCAAACGCTTGACAAAAAACAGGAAAATTGCATTCAAAGCACTCCTGACAGATACCCATCCCATACCTCTGTTTAAAAACCTCCAAAGAAGGAGCCTCCACCACACCACAGAGAGTTCCACTGCTGAACAGCTCTAATAGTGAGGAAGTTCTTCATCATGTTCACAATTGGTTCAGGTGGAATCTCCTTTCCTGTAGTTTGAATCCATTGTTCTGCTAGTCTCCAGGGCAGCAGAAAACAAGCTTGCTCCCTCCTCCCTATGACTTCCCCTCACATATTTATACATGGCGATCATGTCTCCTCTCAGCCCTCTCTTCTGCAGACTAAACATGCCCAGCTCTTTAAGCCACTCCTCGTCGAGATTGTTCTCCCAACCATTGAACATTTTAGTTGTCCTCTTCTGGACACATTCCAGCTTGTCAACATCTCCCTTCAGTTTCGATGAACAGAACTGGACACAGTATTCTAACCACACCCGGAATATTGTGGGTCTCAATCTGTGTGATTATCTCCATGATGGGAAACTGAGGTTGAAACATAGTGCCTTGTCTAAAATCTGAGTTCAACAGTGATTTGAACCAATAAGGGGGTGGAAAGCCAAGAAATAGCAAGGAAAGAGTTGTAAGATTCTTAGAGATCCTTTAGTCCAGCAACACCCTGCTAAATAGCATAAGACAAGAGTCCAAACTCTGCTCAAATACTTCCACCCAAAGAGAAACACTACTTTCTGATGGGTTTTGGCCATTAAGAGATTTCTCCTAATATGTGAAGGAAATAGAGCTGCATTGCAACTTTCACACATTGGTTCTAATTGTGTCCTCTGGAGCCCAAGACACTCTATCTGCTCCATCTTCTGGCTTTAGAAATGTGAAGACTGAGATAATGTCTCTTCCTAATCTTCTTTTCCCCAGACTGAACATAACCAGCGCTTTCAAGTGGTTTTCAGAGAGAACATTCCCTCACCCACTTGCTATTGGGATAATCACATCCAGCTCCACATCCACATTCCTCAACTTTATTTCAAGTTTATGTAGACAGGCACAATTTCATCTTTGTATCTAATTGACAGCTAACTTACCATCATGGCTGTTGGGGAAATAGCCTCCTCCTCCTCCTCCTCTCACATATGTTGACTGGCAGTTAGGCACTTCTGAAAGAAAAATGGAGGTGGACTTAATGACACCCCAAACTACACACATTTCCCTTCTTGCCTTTTGGCATGTCTACAAAAATGGTCCTGGATATACACAATGTATAGATTTATGTTCTTTCACTTGGCTGTTGGAAATGTAGAGTGGTTGAATTACACCCCTTAAGGTTACCCTGAGAAGACAGTGTGAGGACTAAATCATAACAAATTTAACTCTATAGTTCAGGGAAGTAGAGTTCCTCAGCAGAAAAATGTAAGTTCCTTTCAGCAAATTACAAAACCCAGTGGGATGGAAACAAGTGTGTGACATGTGCTAGTCACCCAGTGAACTTCCATGGTTGAGCAGGGATTTGAATCCTGATCTCCAGAATCGTAGTTCAACAGTCAAATCAACACATGCTGGTATGATTGCATAACCAATGCTTCTGAATTTAAATTGGACAAAATCAATGCTGAAACGACTATACACCAGGTTACAGACAAATGTGAATATCAAGAGTGGACAAAGTGGTCCTGTGAAGGTTTCCTCAAGCCTGGATTCAGATGAATGTTGCATTCAGAGGGTTAAAACACACTGTGCGGTAAGCACATATAGCTACAGAATCCAGCCATGTGTTACTTTGTCTAAACAATTCCTATCACCAGCAGCTGTGGAAGCACAATAAGGTTCACATTACTGTGTGATAAGAAGCCACAGGCGTAATCAGCTCTTTGCATGGTTGTAGCTGGCATACAACATTCACAGAAAGCCATAATAATATAAGTGGGTGTTTGGAAGCAACCCTTTGCAATGGAAACTAATATTTCCCGCTAAACTATGCAATTAATAGTCTTGCCGTTAACAAAACTTCCAATTATTCAAATTCCTGGGGTGGCTATAGGTTGTTCAGACAAGTGAGGTAAGATATTTCCAAGAATGAGAACTGATGTATTTAAAAAATCAATACTGTAATCATGTTTGAAGGTCTAAGCTTTCAAACTCCCACACGATAGCAGATAAAAATAAAATGTAAATAGAATTATGAACATATGAAGCTGTCACATATAAACTCAGACCCCTGGTCTATCTTTCTCAGTATTATGACTAGAACTGGCTTTCTAAAGTTCCAGGCCAATGACCTTCCCACTATCTTTCGAACCAGAAGCATCAGGGACTGCATGTGAGGCTTTTTGCATGAAAAGCATGTGCTTCGACAGGTTCACCAATAATTTCCTGGCATCACGAGGAAAAAAAGGTTCGGGAGAGGGAGAGAGTAGGCCTCCAATGTAATTAATTCCGACCCTTCTTCCATGAACTAATTACTTACTGGGATTATGTGTAAAGAGGCCAGATGAATCAACAACTAAATAGGAGATATCCTGAATAGGTGGGCGATAATATGATCCCTTGAAAATCAGGTACATCATTATTGTTCCTGGAAGCTGTAATGCGATCCACCTCATTGCTGCAGCTGTCTCTCCCCAGGAGGCACTGCCTTCCTGAGAGCATGTGGAGGAAATCCTTATGAACCTGAAGGTTAGGCTGGAAAAGGGTATTCAAACCACTCCCAGGGGGAGGATCTAAAATTCAAATCTTGTATTTTGCACGCACACACACCCCGGACACGTGAGAAACAAGGAAAGAAGAGGGGAACAAATTCTTTCAACTTTAGATCTTCTCCCCATCTGTTCCACTCTGCCTTTGGGAGGTCATGGTATTTTTAGGCCTAAGGCGATTTGCAGTTATGGAGTGGCCCCACCACCAAGAACAGCTGCACAACCTAACAAGTGATCAGGCATTCCCTTCCTTGATACCCCTGTCCCCCCAACCAAATGTCCCAGAGGGAGCGTTCAGAAGCGACCCCAAATCAACCGCAGGTTCATCGCTACTGAGCAGAGAACAGACCATGGAAAGAGGAAGAGCTTTTGTAGAGGAGTGTGCAAGCCATGCCCTGGCTGCACTCCAGTAATACGCTTGAGATTATAGAAGGCTTAGATTCTGCTACATCTGTTGAATGCTTGATTTTTAAATTTATTTATTTATTAAGCCCGAAAGAGATAATCTAGCATTCTAAATAGGTTAAACATTGCCACAAAAGACTGCTGCTGCTTCTTGTATTTCTTCAGCAGAAGCCACCGCTTTCAATGAATGGTTCAGTGAGGTAGGAAGAAGGAAGGAGAAACCTTAGAAAGACATTTGTCAAAGACTAGAGGAGGAAGAGCTAAGTGGTTTACAAGAATAATTAATGATATAAGGGAGGGACAAGTGAAGTACCTGAAATGCTACCTAATCCCTGATCACACACATGCTTTTGTGCAAAAGATATTTACCCACTCTTCACAGAGTGTATTATGCTACATATTTATAGCACTTTAATAAAACTGTTTTTAATCCATTTTCACATGATAGTTTTATTTAATAGTAGATGGTTTCATTCCATTTTAAGTGTTAATATTTTGTAAATTTGTAATCCATACACGTGTTTTATATCTGAACTTTTATTTTTGTAAGCTTCACTTCTTGCAGAAAAGGCAGGATATGAAATAAAGAGTGGCAATCAAGTGTCCTTTGCAATGTTGTTGGACTGCAACTCAGGACATCCCAAGCTGACATACCCAATAGTGAAGGATACTGTGAACTGCAGTTCAACAACGTAAGCAAGACCACGATTCCCATTCCTGTACCACAAAGACCACCGAAAGTCCAAAATGTCCATATAGTTGTTGAGAAGTACAAGGAATACCATGTGCACAAAAGAAATAGAGTAGGAATAATCCCAAGGGTGTAATGAATGTAATGCAGAATGAATACTGATGGTATTGAGGCTGCTTTATGTGCTAGATGGCATTATCGAAACAAAGGCCTATCTACATGCAGCAAGGAGAGATCCAATCCAAACACTCACCTGAATCAATGCAATAGTCCCTGGGCTCTTGCTTGATTCCCATTGGAGACTGGAATCCATGTGTTGGTGGGCCTGGAATGCCTGGGACCCCGTGATCATAGAGTGGGTCATGGTATTCCTGCTTGAATCCCTGAGGAGGATGAGTGGCAGCAGGGACAATAGGCTCTGACATCTGCCTGTGGTAGACCGGGCGATTGTCCCCAGAAAGTCCAGGTGGAGGATAAGGGTGGCAAGGTTCAGACATCTGTCTCTGAAACCTTGGTAAAAAAGAGAGAGAAGGGGCACATTGGTTATTACCACCATTAATAGACTTTCCTGAGGTCACACCGCTATACAAATTAAGCAGGTCTGGTTACAAGGATGCTTTCAAAATTTTGGTTCAGAGCCAGAATCAGATATTCAGAAGTTAGTCAAAACAGAAATCAATTTGTATTATCAATAGCTTACTGCAATGTGACAACATCAGTTTGTATGACAGGTCAGAGCAGGATAGTTGCTAATTGTTGTACTTGTGGAACCATGATGGCAGATGAGGGACATACAAGCTTGTCTGCTCACAAAGTGCTCACATCAGGGTCAGTTTGTGGCAAAACACATGCCTTATTTTTGAAAATGAATTCTAGAACAAATTGAGCTGTGATCAAAAGAGAGCTGGCACGGGACAATGACTGAATTCAGTGGGCTCAAGCTACAGTTTTGTTCTTAAATTCAGTTCCAAAGGATAGCCAACTTATGAATGAAAGACCTTCCAATAATTATTCAGAATCTTACAGACTTGGGACTGTGGCTTCTTTGATCAAGACGTATCAAATTCTAATGCATCTTCCTCTTTTTCCTCTTGTCCTAGATTTGCCAAGCAGTATTTGCTGAGCATTAAGATTCAGCCAGTGAAATGACAAAACAAGGGGATCCCTTGAATTTCATCAAGCTCTTAACCAACTTCTTTGCAATTAACTCTATCAACTTCTGCTTTTGAAAAAAAAAGTTACACAAGTTGTCTTGGAAAAGAAATATTTTCCTTCTGCATGTTTTTCTTGTCAGTGTTCTAACAAGTGTAAGGTAAATGTTAGGGGTTGTGCATACTGAGTTCTGTTTACTTATTAAAATATTATTTTGGTGGGATTTTTCATTTTAAAGTGAATCCATTAAAAAGTGTCACTTTTAAAATGGGCAATATTACTTGGTACTTACGAGTAACAGCCAATGATTTACCTTCACATAAAAAGACTTTTTAAACGTTGTAGTGATAATATGTTAGCTTTCCCCCCTCGGCAATGTTTTCAAACACAACATGGATTTTTCCAACAGCTGAACTGAAATAAAGCAGCAGCACTGAGGGGGTGGGAGAAGGCTGAAATTCAGGCTCCATGAGAGAGCAGTATTAAAACAAAAGCCACTGGTGGTTCTCTGTGAAACATCAGAGACAGTCCTCTCATGCCAACCAGGTCAAGACCATCACTGGTGAGAGTAACAAGCAATTTTCCCTTTGTTGTTGAACTGGAACACAGCTACTCTGCTACAGCTACATTTCACTCCACCGAAGCAAACAAGTGGTTACGTAATTCTGAATCCACTCAGCAATCTGTGAATACCAAGTGGCTGCTAATCTGCCTACAAAGCTAGGGATTAATCCTTTAGCTCTCCATGCAGGAGGAAATATGTGTGCTTTCAGGAGAGCAGTTGTGCTGTATAGGATACAGACAATGTGCCCTTAGCACGAGAGCAGTGGAGCTAATGGTTTGGCTAGAAACCTACTGCGAATGCCACTCCGCTCTTGGGACTTCCAGTATCTTGAGGTAAGAACTTGAGAGAGTCAGGAAAGAGTCAGGCTGGGGATTCTGGTAGCTACAGGTCTCAAAAGACCAATTTCCCAAGCTCTAGTCAGCTAAGCACCCTTGATTCCAGGTTAGATACTGATATGCACAAAGGCTGGTTGACTCTTAAGGGCTATAAACCTATCTAGTCAACTGCTCAATAGTAAATAAATCCCAATTATCCTTTTTATATGTCTACCTTATTTGCATTACCAACTGGGTTTAGACTTACATGATTGAGAAAGGACCAGAGAGAAGGAGGGTGATTTTCTTTGTGTACCTCCATCCCACCCCCACCCCCCTTCATAGGAACCAGCTGAGTGTACCATACAGCTATACAGGTCGACTGTTTCCATTCAGAAAGCAACAGTCCATATTAAAGCTGTCTGGATGGTTGCCAACAAAAGTAGTTCAGCTAATTCCCACAAACCCTGTTACCCACACCACAAATTAGATGTGTCTGATATGTCCTCAGAGGAATTAAATAGGGGGACAGGGTTGGAAAAATAAACGCTTGGACTCCTGCGATCTTTGCTTCTGATATGTGAGAGGCAGGCAGACAGGCAAGCACACTCTTTCCCTCTGCTGAATTCTGCAGCATCCCAGCACCTTGAAAGGCAATTGCTATCAATCAATGCCTTTCCCAAGCATCAAAAGGCACTCGGGCTCCATTTGGCCCTGTAACTCGATCCTCTGCAGCTGACAGGCCCAGATTATTCTACTTCCGATCCTTGTCCTTCTAACCTTTCCGAATGAAATTTTAGAGCCATGCTGGTATGGCCTCTGCAGGAAGAGCCACTTCCAGATGGGACGCTGCAGAGTGTCCCTAGCATAGCTTTAAGGTCATTAGGAACTCATGGCTTGTTTGTGGTGGTGTGTTTATCTAAAAGGCAATTTTAGATACCTGAAATAGAGAAGGGTGCTTTTTTAGTTGAATGGGTAGTTAAGAAAGATGGGGCGAGATTTCTCTTTCAAGGTATCCCTTATTTTGAAGCACTAATGTTAATTTATGTCCCTATGGTATTCCTAAACTAGTGTTAATAAAAAAAAGATTGGGTTGTTGTGTGGTTTCCGGGCTGTATGGCTATATTCTAGCAGCATTTTCTCCTGACATTTAGACTGCATCTGTGGCTGGCATCTTCAGATGATCGAAACGTCAGGAGAAAAATGCTGCTAGAACACAGCCATACAGTCTGGAAACCACACAACACTCCAGTGATTCCAACCATGAAAGCCTTCAACAAAAGATTTCTCATTTTAGTCTACAGCAGGCATCTTCAAACTGCAGCTCTCCAGTTGTATGGGCCTCCAATTCCCAGAAGCCCTAATGAGCTTGTTCAATTGTCAGGAAATCTGGGAGCTTAAGGCCCAAACAGCTGGAGGACTACGGTTTGAGGGTGCCTGGTCTACAGCCTTGTGTACGAAGCTTCAGGCACTGGTCCTCCTGGCTGCTTTCACTGCTCCCATATAGGTATTGACCCAATACTGCAAGTCACTTAAGCCCAAACACTGCTGGATATCAATTCCCAGAAGCCTAAGAAAGCAAAGATTATGGGAGTTGTAGTCCCAAACATCTGGAGCGCCAAAAGTTCCCAACTCTTGGCAGTGCCAACATACAGGTTGGGTATCCCTTATCCAAAATACCTGGAAACTAGGTGTTTTGGAGTTCATATTTTGGAATACTTATATTTGCAGAATTATGTACATAATGAGATATCATGGAAGTGGAACTCAAATCTAAAGACAGAATCCACATATAGCCTGAAGGTAATATTTTTAATAATTTTGTGCATGAAACAAAGTTTGTCTACACAAAAGCATCAGAAAGAAAAAATGCTTAGCCAACCATGTGGAAAATTTCAGAAGTATTTTGGATTTGTGGATTCTGATAAGGGATGCTCAATTTGGGCCTTTATTTATGGAGCAGGACTACATGAAAATACATATATACAGACTAACTGGATAGCTTAGAAACACTTTCTTGTCAACTGCTGGATAACTTCAGGATGGCACGTGCAAAGCTCTGCATCTATGCATATAATAGGAGATACTTCGAAAAGTTCTGAGTTGGAGCTGGAAAATCTGAAATATCTAAAAGGCAGAATGATTTCTTAAACAGCAAACACTGAATCTACACGAGAAGCCAGCTCCTTCTCTCGCTACGACATGCCATTGCTCCAGCTGCCCCTTTCAGGGCTTCCAGATCCAAGTAACAGTCTGGAGACAGAGTGAATTACTAACCAGTCAGGAAATGAGACTCAAATATATGAAAAATTGGGAAAGCTTTCAGAGAGGTTTGCACTAAGCACACAAGGTCATAAATTCCACTTCCCAGACAAACAGCATGGTAAAGCTATACTATCTCATCAGTCACAGAATGAAAGAGCCCAAATAATCTCTAGCATATGGATACACAGAAAATCCAGATTTACTGTCAAGAATATCTGTGTCAAGATTCAGTGGGGTTGGAAAAGAGAATTGGTCCCTTGAATTTTTGACACATTTGACACAAGGAAAATAATTAATCCATCTAAATATTCATGCAAATGACAAGATCAATATAAATACAGGGCATAAAATATATATGGGCAGCCAAAGGGTGACTGATAACTGCTCTATTTCTAGCTCCCTATGGGGAGCTCCTAGTTATTTATCAATAATCTGAAGTGATCTAGAAATGTATTTCTCTCAAGAGTCAATCTGCTGTATTTATGTTCTGCTTGTGGATTTCCTACAAGTTACTCATTAGCTATTGTATGAACAGAATGATAGACCAGCTAGGCCTTCCACTTCATCCATTCCTATGTTGATTTTCTATTACGACATAAAGGAGAACAGGAAAGTTTCCTGTATCTGAAGATGAGTTGGAGGAGACCTAACACTTCACTTTTCAATATTACGAATGTATAGTTTACAATGCTAGCAATGCCATTAAAACCATATAGACACAAACAGACCAAACCCAAACCTTCAGCACACGATTAACTATGGCCCCTTCATATGTTGCTGAAATGCAACTCTTAGAATCTTCACCACTGGCCATGGTTAATGGGAGTTGCACTCTAACAATATCTAGAAGACCACGGATGCTTCTCTTTACCATGTATTAAACATACAATATCCCTGTGGCAACTGCAGAACCATAAATCATCTCCTTTATATGTCACTCAGTGTTCCTGAGATACCAAGCAAAAAGATCAGTTATGAGTCATAGTTCTGAAGATGTGAATGTTTGTCTTGATTCCAAATTAGATACATTTCACAACCTTAAAAAAAATGCAATTTCTAAACAGCCTAAGAATATAGCTAATCCAAGTGAATGGATTTTTGCAGAAATACAACGGTGTTTTTTTAATCTCTCCATTTGCTGGTGTATGCAAAGCCCAAAACTAACAAGCATGCCCATCTTATAAAATCCCATACCAGTAATTCAACTTCATTGTATTTGAAGGCATCTGGATATACATAGAAATTACATAAAAGTAATTTCCCTTTTGATCTCATTGTCTAAAATTCCAACCCTCCTGCCATGTACAACACTCCATGCATCTGAACAAATGGGCTAAGACCCGAAGAAAACTGAGAATATGGAGATGAAATTGTTCATCTTTAAAATACCAATGAAATCCAATATGAACCTTCTCCAGAGCTTATGGTTGTTGTGTGCCTTCAAGTTGACTCTAGTTTACTGTGATCCTATCCTAGGGTTTTCTTGACAAGATTTCCGCAGAGGAGGTCAGTCATTGCCTGCCTCAAAGTATGACATGACCAAAGTCACTCAATGGATTTCCGTGGTTGAATGAGGACTTGGCTTATGGTCTTCTGGAGTTCTGGTCCAACTCTCAAGCCAGTAAACCATACTGCAGACCTATGGAAATGTAATGTTGGACCTTGCCAACATTGGATTTTGCCACTCTACCCAAAAATGTTTCTCTCATTTCTCTCTTTACCTGTGTTCTGTTGGATACTGGTTTTCAGGCATCATCTTTGGCATCTGCATGGGTTGGTGAGGTGGTCGAGGAACAGCAAAGGTTTGCTGCCTTGGTTCCTGAAGAGCATGAGGGGCAGGTGGAGGGGGTGCTCCCTGCAATGGGCCTGCTGTGGTGGGAACCTGGGGAGGAGGAGGCTGCTGCACAGGTGCCGCTGGAAGAGGTGGGGGAGGAGGAAGGGGGCCGCTCTGGAGTGCAGGGGATACTGGGGTAGTAGGTGGAGTTAATGGCTTGAACCCGGCAGGGGGCTTCCTGTCGTAGGCACTGTGCAAACAAAGAAACAGAGAGGAACACAATATAAATCGGGCCACAACAGCCATTTACACAGCTTCAACTTGCTGTTCTTGACAGCTAGGGCTTGTTTGCATTTCATGGTTGTCAGGAAGTAACTGTTAAGGTTGTTCGCAGCCCCAAGGGAATCTTTGTACTTCAGGCAAGCGACAAACAGGCTGAGTCATAGGGCTGATTTTAAAACACTTCTCTCACAATTTTCTCAGAGATAATTGTAACTTCCGATTGTTCTCTCCCCCCCTCCCTGTTTTTTTTTTAAAGAGAATCAAAGCACATTGTTCGAAGTGAAGGACTCTCCACTTCCCATTTTTCTAATAGCTAACAAGAAGTTGTTGTGGTCAGAGAGGCAAACAAGCCCACCACTTCTCTCAATGCACTGCCATTTCTGTAGGTTGCTTCGAAAGCAACTCTCCACCCTCTATAAGTCTATGGAAGAAAGCATGTACACATTTGGGAAGGTCATAGGTACTTGTCACTGGGATGACATGCAAAAACTGACTTAAGTGATTTTTATATATATAATAGTACATAGAGTTATGCACCTTCTGCTTCCCTTGATCTAATGTCTGGATATTTTCTATGTGTACTAAAAAGGATATTGTATGAATCAGCCATAAAGGTTAAGACTGTTATTTATGTAACAGTACTGGAAACTTCCCAAATTCCAGTGAGAGAAATTCTTCAGGATATTACAGCTGCCACAACACAAGACACTTTTGGAATTTGATGATGCGCTTATTATGTGTCTTCAAGCAGACTCTGATTTATAGAATGCTATCATAGCTTTCTCTTGGCAAGTTTCCTTCAAAAGAGGTTTGCTACCATGTCCCTCTTAAAATGGGACAGTGTGACTTTCTCAAGTGGGTTTCTCAAGTGAATAGGGATTTGAACTCTGCTTTCCAAGAGTCCAGCACCCCACCAACTTACCACACTAGATTTCATTTATAGTGTAGTGTTTACTATTACTGCTCCTACTTAAACTCTCTGTCTTAGTCAATCCATTTCAATATAAGAGATATTTAGAGTGGTACACAGGGGCTGGCATAGGAAATGTACCGCTATGCAGAATTTGTTGGATTGCAACACCAATCATCATGCTCACTTGGGCTGATAGGAGTCGCATCTCAATAATGTCTGGGGCACCACACTTTTCCCATCTCTTCCATAAATGAACACAATTCTGTGTTGGTCGCCCCCCCCCCCCCATTCTTTCATCTATAAAGTCTATTCTTGATGCTCCCATGTCTTCACTTTGTTTTCCTGTCACTCGCATACATGCACTTGGGTTGACCCACTAGTCCTCCAAGCTCAATTCCCTCAAGGACAACTCCCTAGGGAAGTAATTTGTCTTGGGAACTTGGCAAATGGCTACTTCATTTTATCTGGCAGAAAAGATCTGAGTTGCTTCACATTACAATGGTATCAATTTTCTGCAGAGTCAGGGAATACTGCTAAGCTGCGATGCAACCAAAGCAAAATCAATGCAAATCATTTTATGTAGCTCTCATTCTTTTGCTTTGTCTACCTGCTCTACCAATCTCATACACTCTTCAGCTTAAAACTGAATGGATTCTTAAGCATTATTATTTTTTATTATCACAAGAGAGGCAAATGGCATTTGTAGTAAATGGAAGTACAGTAGAATCTCGCATATCTAATATAAACAGGCTGGCAGAATGTTGGATAAGCAAAAATGTTGGATAATAAGGAGGGATTAAGGGAAAGCCTATTAAACGTCAAATTATGTTATGATTTTACAAATTAAGCACCAAAACATCATGTTTTACAACAAATCGACAGAAAAAGCAGTTCAATACACAATAACATTATGTAGTAATTACTGTATTTACGAATTTAGCACCAAAACATCACAATGAATTGAAATAGCTGTGGATCCAGGCGGGAGGAAGACTGTGTTGGATAATACAGAACGTTGGAGGAGTGAAGGTTGGATAAGTAAGACTCTACTGTACTTCTGTTATTCGGCTGAGTCCAATATAGTTCTCATGTTTCTTCCTTCTCTTGCCCACTTCCCATATACCCAAAAGCATATTAGCTGTATAGTTCAAATCCCATGCAACTTACCAATAGTTGTAGAGGCACTTTTCTCCATAATTAGCACAGAGGACCTGTTCATGGCTGCAGGTGGACAACTCAGACGAAGGGCTGTGGAGTTCCCTCTTGATTTTAGCTGGGGGAGGTGCATGAAGTACCACTGGATGAAAACAAATAAGTGGAAAAAAATAAGAATGCAATGAATCAGTTATATCTCAGGACCAATGTATACTCCTTGAGAGAGCAGCCATCACATATAGGCAATCAGATGTTAATCAGTAGAGATATACATGCTCATGTGGTCATCCAGATATTGTTGACCCATAACTCCCATCAGCTCCAGCCAACCTGGGCAATGGTGGGGAATGATAGGAGCTGAAGCCTACCAATAGCTAGAGGACCACACGTTCTCTTGTCACAGCACTACACTTAGATGGGCACTCATACACAGCACTTTTATTCTTGCTTCTTGAGTTCAAACAAGTTAATGGTTTTTAGAGAAGCATACATCTAAGTTTTTATCTGTGACAATGTGACAGTGCTTTGAAGTCTTTGTAAACTGAGTTAGGTTTCCTTGGATAAAACATCCATTCCGTAGCTGTAGTGAAAGATCACTTGCAGCCACAGCATTGGGGAGGAAGGGAGGGAGAAAAAGAGCTAAAAATGTGAAAATGTCCCAAAGCAGTCATTTGCAAAACAGCCACAACATCTAATTTTCAAGGCCTGAACACACATGTTTTTGATCAAGCTAGAGTGAAAGGAAAAGAAGAAAGTTCAGAATGTCAGACTATATACTTATGGGGATTTGGGATTTACATTGGAACCATGCTAATTGACAAAGTTCTGGATCTTGGACAGAAATGCAAGGGAGCAACAGAGTTCAAATGATTTTTCCTACAGTATTTCCAGTTTCATTCTGAAATGCGTTGTGGTACTCTTGCAACTTGAACAGCTATTTGATTTAATTCAGCACTGGTTGAATTGTCTTGAGGACACATCTACACTATCATTATAATGCAGATTGAACTGGGTTATATGGCAGTGTAGACTCATATAATCCGGTTCAATGCAGTTCGATCTGTGTTATATGAGTCTACACTGACCATACAATGCAATCCAAACTGTATTATGTGAGGGCCTTAGACTCAAGCTAACAAAGTGCAGATTATCTCAGTAAGATTTTGAACCTCCGCTGTATGTTTACCTAACATCTATCCATTCGATTGACTGTAAGAACATGTTTCTCCAAGACTTATTTCAATGCAAGGCATGTATGTTTTCCTATGAGCTGGGAACTTTATGCTAGTAATGCATTATGATATCCCTTGTCTAGTAAGCACATTGTCATAAGTAGGAATGTACATGCATGCTCCAATTTGGGCAGTATGTAATAATCCGTTAGAACAGCATGGATATACTGGATTTTAATTTGATGCAGCTGTTGAGATTACATGGCCTTTATGTCTCTTCCAGGCTCTACATGGTTAAGACAATTCATATAGTACTTCCAACTACATAATGAACACGTGAAGGCATACATTCCCATGAATGGATATAACATGTAGATCATGATTTAGGGACACAATCAGAAGCTATTTTTGTAGCAGCTCTTTTCAAAAGCATTTCAGTTTCATAAACGGGTAATCTTTTTTTGAGCTGCAACTTTATATATTAACACACATGAGGTGCACATTCAATGTTGCTTGGGAATGCATATGCAATGTATTATCATGCAAAGCGATCTTTACATTTTGCATGTAAGTTATACTACAATCATAGACAACCATGAAACCTTGAGTCAGTATGGAAGAAGTGTGGCCTATGGACCACATGAGGCCTGAAGTTCTTCAAGTCCTTGCTATAGAAAGCATGAAAACAAGAACAAGATATTTGTTGTGGTATCTGGGAGGGCATATTCTGAATAAGTGCCACTCTAGTTTTCCCACACGAGGGAATATGTTGTCCTTCAGATTTAATTGACAGGAAAATCTTTGAAGCATAGGAAGCTACACTATACTGAGTCAGACTACTCGTCCATAGCTCCCCAAAATGGAGAACCGTGCCTCCAGGTGGGATACAATCATTTGCCCAATCCATGGCATGTTCCCAAAGCTCTTGATATGAAAATAGAATTAACTTTCTCATCACAGAGACATAAAACACAGCAAGACCACTGGTGCACTAGCCAACACTATCGAATCTGAATAGCAGCAGCCCTCCAGGTTTTCAGGCAGGATTCTTTCCTTGCCATAGCTGAGGATCACTGGTATTTCCTGGTGGTTTCCCATCCAAATATTAACCTGATCTGTCTTTGCTTGCTTCCGAAATCAAATGAGGTTGGATGAGGTCAGAGTGGCATAGTGATACCAAGGATGGGAGGGAAGTGGGACAGTGAACTGTTATGCATTGACTTGTAGTTCTCCAGGATTACAGACAAGAGTCTTCCCAGCTCTACCTGGAGTTGCTAGAGGTGAAATAGGGACTGTCTGCATGAGGACGGACTCTCTTCCCATCCTTGTGTGGGCATCCAGAAAACAGTAAACTGATTGTCTGGAAGGTAATTGGTCCGACAAAGAATGGATGTGATATAGGAGCAAGAAAGCACTGGACCCATAAACTGTTTTCAGGCTGAAGTCATCAAAATGAATTCATCCATTCTGCAGCTTTAATTTGGCAGCAGGAGTTTAGATTAAAGCTGCAAACAGCAAGCAGTATTTAGAATAGAGGGGGCTGTTCAATGGATATGCACCCTATTCAATGCTGAACTACACATACACACACATACACAAACTAAAGGTTGCTACTGCCTCTGATGCCATTGCCTCAAGTTCTTCTACTATATATAATTTTTAAACCAACTAATATATGCTTAACCTAATTAATTTCTAAAAGAAGACATTCTAGGAAAAGGCAAGTGCGTCAGAGTTCTGTACCTAAATAGTGACTGAACAGAACAGCTTGGCTTAGTCGTAAGAGGAGCATTATCTCCACAAAGGCTAAGCACGTTGTTGCTGCAGCAGCAGGAGAGGACCGCTTGTGTCTGACGGCTTCTAACCTTCACTGCCAATTAGCAGTTTCAGCACTCTATGTGCAGTCAACCCTCCTAGAGAGTGGAAAACAACAATTCCTTTGGGGCAGTCCAATACATTCCAAGAATGAAGTTTTGAGTGCCAGATTAGAGCCTCTTCCAATGCCATTTTGTATAGGTAAACACCATCACAGATATAGGAGTACTTTTGGGATTGAGAAAAAAAAACCCTTAGAAATGTTTGCTTTGTTAGTGAGAGGATGCAGTAGGGACACTTGATGGGGTATAGAAGTCAGGTTGCAATATGTTTTAGAAATACTGATTTCAAAAAACTACAGCTTGGAAACATAACTTTTGGGGGGCTACAGCTCTCACGCCCCCCCCCCCCCCCCCCCCCCCCCCCCCCAGCCAGCAGGTCTGCAATACCTAGAAGGCTAGGGGATCTGAAAGGTTTTCACCTAAAAATGCATTTTTGTTCCAAGCATTGAAAAAGATAGTAACAACAACTGCATTTCTCCAGGCCAGCATTTCCCAACATAGAGGTCAGGACTCCTGGGGGCATCACAAGGGGGTGTCAGAGGGGTCGCCAAAGACTATAAGAAAACACAGTATTTTCTGTTGGTCATGGGGGTTCTGTGTGGGAAGTTTGGCCCAATTCTATTGTTGGTAGGATTCAGAATGCTCTTTGATTGTAGGTGAACTGTAAACCCCAGCAAGTACAACTCCCAAATGTCAAGGTCTATTTTCCCCAAACTCTACTAGGGTTCATATTTGGGCATGTTGAGTATTTGTGCCAAGTTTGGTCCAGATCCATAATTGTTTGAGTCCACAGTGCTCTCTGGATGTAGGTGAACTACAACTCCCAAAACTCAAGACCCACCAAACCTTTTCAGTATTTTCTGTTGGTCATATGAGATCTCTGTGCCAAGTCTGGTTCAATTCCATCATTGGGGGAGTTCTGAATGCTCTTTAATTGTAGGTTAACTATAAATCTCAGCAACTAAAAATTCCAAATGACAAAATTACCACCCCCCCCCCCCAACCTCACTAGTATTCAAATTTGTGTGTATTGGGTATTTGTGCCTAATTTGGTCTAGTGAATGAAAACATATCCTGCATATCAGATATTTGCATTACGATTCATAACAGTAGCAAAATTACAGTTATGAAGTAACAACGTAAATGATGTTATGGTTGGGGGTCACCACAACATGAGGAACTGTATTAAGGGGACGCAGCATTAGGAAGGTTGAGAAACACAGCTTTACAAGGTAATGAATTCTAAGCAGGCATGTAGCCAGGGTGGGGGGGCTTGAGGGGCTTCAGCCCCCCCCCCCCGAAATTCTCATGGTGGTTTGCGAAAAGGCCTTACTGGTGCATTATTTAAACTGTTATGTTTATTCATATCATGATCTGATCACCATACTCAATATATCCCATATGCATGGGGGTATTGGGGTAACAATACAAAAGGTTTGCTAGGCTAGACCCTCTTTCACTCAGACTCAGCCCCCCCCCCCCAACTCGAAATCCTGGCTACGGGCCTGATTCTAAGTGTTTGAGGATCCCATGGTAAAATTATGATAAGACAACACTGGGTGCCTCAGCCCCTTAAGCAGCTGAGATGAAAAAGGAAAGGGGCTGAGGCTGTTAGGAATTGTGGGAGTTGAAGTCCAAAAAACCTGGAGGGCCCAAGTTTGCCCATGCCTGATCTACACTGTACAATTTAGACATATCGAGTATTTGTGCCTAATTTGGTTCAGTGAATAAAAATACATTTTGCATATCAGATATTTACATTACAATTCATAACAGTAGAAAAATCACATTTTTGAGGTAGCAATGAAAATAATTTTTTGGTTAGGGGTCACCACAACATGAAGAACTGTATTAAGGGGTCACAGCATTAGGAAGGTTGAGAACCACTGCTCTAGGCAATTTCCTTTGGGGTCTCCTTTGGCATTTCAAGTGTTAATATCTCCCTTCCTCAGCCCGCCCTAGAAATTGCCCTCTGTCCTCTCCCACTCAGCCCCCACCTCTTAGGAGGCCTGCCCTTGCTGAACAGCAAACAGCAGGAAACTCACTTTGGAGGTGTTCCAGCTGTCAGTCAGGGGCATGTTTCTTTCCAACAG